AATTTCTCCATTCCACCAGTCTCACACCCTGTTTTGCCATCACTAGATTTAAAGGTTTGGCTGTTGAGAGCCAGGTATTGAGCGACATTTATCTTGAAGATGGTCAAAGTTTGCCAATTGACTTCTTGTAAAATGTATCACTAATTGAAAAGGTGAATTTTGCCCTGTGTGATTTCCTTGGGGCTCCCAGGTTTCGGTCTTTACCATTTTCTTTTAAAGGCCACTGGCCTCGTGCATTTTTAGTGGTCATCAACCTCGTCTTGGGGGGGGTCTGGAGATGATAGTTTGGTCTTGAAAATTGGACAACACAAAAAAATCTCCACCTGATCCTACCAGGTCTGTTATTGGGCCAATCTCAGCCAGGTAAAGGAGCCCTCCACAAAACTCAATATTCTCTAAACATACAGAAAAAAAAAAAAAAAAAATTTGAATATGAGCTCTACCTTACCCCTAGTTTTCAAAAAAGTATATAAATATCCCAGAAGGCGCATGAGACATACTTCATGATAGCACCCAATTGATATTAAAAAAAAACAAAAAAACAATACCTTTATTAAATTAGGTAAAAATACAGATTGACATAGACAAACAAAAATGGTATTAAAAACTGCCTACCACCAGATCACCAATTATTATGCCAATCTCTGTATTCTTATATACTCTATAGGGGGACGGACGGACGCCCACACACACTAAAATGTTGTTATATACAAGTAGGATAATAGCAATACCATCTCGTTGAGTCCTCCAATATGCTGCTTAATAGTACATAAACTCACTGCCTCACCTAAGCATTTGTATAGATTAAACTATATCTCTTTGATAAACGAAATCAGGGAAGATTTAAAAAGACTAGAAGGAGGAAAACCCATCCTGGATAGGACGTATATTAACCTAGTCAAAATGGTAGTTATGCCTAAAATACTGTATAGATTTCAAATGGTACCAATTAAAATCCCAGAAGCCTTCTTTAAGATAATGAAAAAAATGTTAACAAGATACATATGGAAGAATAAAAAACCCAGAATAGCATATGAAACATTGAGTAGGACTAAAGAGAAAGGGGGATTGGGCCTACCAGATGTCAAGAGATACTATAAAGCAGTGGTTTTAGCAAGAATATACGATTGGACATTTAACCACAAGGGGAAAAAGCTGGGTAACAATTGAAAATGATCTTAGTGGCATTAGATTGAGTCAGATGATATGGGTCCCACCACAGTTTAGGGGAATTAAAGAAAGCACAAGTATTTACACTTTAAATGTCTTTAGGGTATGGGACAATTTACACAAAAACATGAAATGGGAATTTAATTCTACACTAATGCCTCTTATAAATACTGAGTACTTTCCCCTGGAAAGAATAAGATATCAGGGAGATGGTTTAGAAAGGAGGATACCCAATTGAGAGATGTCCTGGTGGAGGGAGAATTGAGATCACTTAAAGAGTTAATAGAGAAGAAGGGAGATATTTTTATTAGAATAGATGAGTGGAAATATCAGCAACTGAAAAGTTTTATATTGGAAATCTACCGAAACCCCTGAGACTAAAACAGGAGTGGAATATGTTTGAAAGGTTGTTAGAGACACGAAGGGATGGGAAGCACGGTATCTCAAAAGTGTATAGAATACTCACAGAATTAGACACAAACACAAAGTTAATTTTTATGACAAAATGGGAAAGGGATATGGGAGTTGGGTTTGATGAAGATAGACAGAGAAAGATGTTTAGACTGATACACGATAATGTTAGTATAAGAGAGGTTGAGGTTAATTATAAGTGTGTGACACGATGGCACATTACACCGAGTGTAGAGCACAAGATGAATGGGGAAAACTCAAATATGTGTTGGAGAGAATGTGGAGAGATAGGCACGGTGTTTCACATATGGTGGGAATGTCCGAAAATCCAGGCTTTTTGGAAGATAATAGTTAAATTAATTGAAGAAATAACTGAAATTGACATAGGATTAGACCCAACGACGTGCCTCCTACACAATGTGGAGACATCTTTAAATAAATATAAAGATTCCGGGATTTGGTACTTCTTGAATGCGGCGAAAGGGTTGATACCCAAGTTTTGGGGGAAAGTTGAGGTACCGAAGGAGGTAGACTGGATTAATAGAGTAAACCAGATAGGTAGAATGGAAAGATCATACCATATGCAAGAAGATAGGATGGGAGTTTATTCCAGGAGATGGGAAAAGTGGGAAAGAGCAGGACTGAAAGAGAAATATAGGAAGATATGAACTAGGATGTTAGCAAAAATAAATAAAAAATTAATAGGCCTCAAGAGATTAGAGAGGGTTAGAATCTGCAGAGGGGGAGCAGGGGGGAAGAGAGGGGCGGGAGGGGGGATAGTGGGAAGGGAAGGAAAGAGTCTTCAGTAAGGGAAAGGTAGAAATGTTATATAATTGTATACCTGTATGAGAATTATTTCCCTTTTTGGGTTTTTGTATTAATATGAAAAATTTAATAAATATTTAAATTAAAAAAAAAAAAAAAAAAAAATAGTACATAAATGATGGTAACCACTAAATGCAGTCATATAGAAGTCAAAGCGCAATGATAGAAAGTGCAATAAATCCTAAGAAATGAACAGTTCCAATCTTACAAGTATCAGTTAATACTGCATAAGGACATTTTTCTTTTCCAATAAGGTCTGTGGTCTATAGGAGACACTGCGATCCATGTGTCCTGTATATATTTCCAAATTGCCAATGGTCTCTCTCTCTCGGTCTCTCTCTCTCTGGTCTCTCTCTCTCTCGGTCTCTCTCTCTCTCTCGGTCTCTCTCTCTCTCTCGGTCTCTCTCTCTCTCTCTCTCTCTCTCTCTCTCTCTCTCTCTCTCTCTCTCTCTCTCTGTTTTAAACTTTTAGGAACAGGTCATTTTGATATTGTGGTCCAGAGGAGGTAATTAGGGCCATATAGAGTATTCAGATGTGCTCCTCCTGGCAAGTGTTGGTCTGCCTCCCTTTCACAGATATTCTCAAAGTCATTACATTCAATATATTGATAAGTCCTTCATGAATCATTTAGATACTGTGGTTTAAAGGAGGTTGTGAAAACCATCTAGGAGTATATTTTTCTTCACAAGCATCCATATGTTCAATGCAGAAACCTTGAAGATTTGCCCAATGTGAAAGTTTCCATCAAAGTGATTTATATTGGTGTTTTAGCCTTTGGCCATTTTGAGTATGCATGCATACCTTTTTTAATTTTTCAATAAAGTTTCATCTGTTTTTTTTTTCTGTAAGATTTTTTTTAAAACACAAGTACATGGCAAAACAGGCACATAACAGGAATATGAAAAGTAGGGGTAACATTCTTTATATACCATAACTTTCTAGAATATACAAAAAACACTGATATTAGTTGGGTGGACTGACCCTTTAATAATAATCTAAATTTTAGAACTTAAAACTAGTAAAAAGATGTACAAGAATTGTGTTGCACAAGGTCATGCATTTCATGGCACCTTTATCACTCAAGCTATTGTATATATAGACAGTAATGTAAAGGTACAGTGACACAAGATTGTTTGATGATTATTTTTGTATGTGTGTGCACAGATCAGTTCAGTGTGCAGTAGCTGGGCAGATGGTCTATCTGGTTAATTGGTACTAGCATAAGACAGTATATTGAGAGGTCTCCTGACAAGGTCTGTCTGCTCACTCAGATGTGCAGGGAGCTGGAGGGAAGAGATTATTCTTGCCGTTTCTTTATATACAGCTGACAATGAAAATGACCAGCTGTCACTTTACATTACTTGGATATCATGCAAAACTAAAGTTGTATGAAAGTCTGGCATTTAACAAATGACTGTTTCAGCACATGTACAGCCACCCTAAGAGAATTTAATTAAAAAAAAAAAAAAAAACCCTCTAAAAAGGGAATAAAAATACTTAAATTAAAAAGTTTGTAATATATTTCAGCTTTCGAGTACATAGATGTGGTTGCAGCTAATTTTTTTTGTTCCCTTTATTTTCAACTGGTAATCCTGCCAATGACACATTCCCTGTTCTAGGGTATCAACCATTAACAACAGTATGTACTGCATCTATTGAGGAGCAGCTTTATCATCCCAGGATATGACTACAGAATTGTAGGAGATGAAAGAGCGCACAAACCTTGCGCATTACCTCAATAAATAGTGACTAATTTGATTTTATTTAGGAAATATACTCACAAAAGTGACGGGAAAACAGGCATAAATTAACCATAATCCACACAAGGTTAGAGGTAAATCCAAAAAGGGGGGGGGGGGGGGAATACAAGCTAACAGGCTGAAATGCTGTAATACTGACACTCAGTGGCTGAATATCTCCTTTCCAAGGGAACTCTGCTGTACTCAAGTTTCTATCTGCCAAGCCCAGCTCTGACGAAGAAAGGAGCACCCTTCGAAACGCATTAGCTTGTATCCCCCCTCCTTTGGATTTACCTCTAAGCCTGTGGGGATTATGGTTAACTTATGTCTGTTTTACCGTCACTTTTGTGAGTAGATTTCCTAAATAAAATAAGTCACTATTTATTGAGGTAATGCGCAAGGTTTGTGCGCTCTTTCATCTCCTCCTACAGTTTTATCAAGCTTCCCCAGCTTCGTGATAGAGCTGCACAACCTCTGATCACCAGCGGATGAACACGCTGTTTGTTACTAACGCCCGTTTGACAGTCTTTGAGCAGGAGATAATGGATCTTTTAGGACTACAGAATACCTGCCTTTCTCCAATTAACCATAACACATGGGATAGTGGTTTTGTAGTTCACTTAGACTCCTGGGAGCAATGCTCACTGATAAGGGTGCAGTACAGACAGAGTTACCAGCTCACAAGAATTTCTTGCACTGATCAAACATACAATTTAACAGCATCCTAAAATTAAAGACAGAAGGCAAGGTCAGTATTCATATCAAGATTATTTATTGTGTTAAATAGCGGTCACATGGGAACAATATAGGAATATTTCTTGTAACAACACAAGAATAAAACGCAAGGAAACATGGTCACTCTGAGTCTTCTTCAAACTCGACAAGTGGAGCATGTCGGCTGGCTTGTACACCTTCTTTGAAGTGAACCTTTTTGATGATGCCTGCTTTGGGTGCTCGTATTGTGTGCTATAAGAAAAACACATGGTAATTTAGGATTTACTACATAATAGTTTTAGGAGGTGGATATCAAGACAGATTTCTTTTCACTATCTGCCTGGAGTTGAGCTTGAAAATTAACCTTGCAAGGTCTATTTTTTTTTTTTTTTTTTTAAAGTGTGCCCTCTCTGCCTTGCACAAAAGTTACCGTATATGGATCTTAAAAAAAAAAAAAAAAAAAAAAAAAAAATATATAATATATATATATATATATATATATATATATATATATATATATATATATATATATATATATATATATAATCCTGTAGGAGGGAAAGAAAAGAAAAAAAAGAAAAAAAGTTAGTTAAGTTAGAAAAGTTATACCTTTCCTTGGCTTCCACAGTGCAGGAGGTGACTGCACTATTCTGCAAGCAAGATCTCATACAATGTGAAGTATTTCAAATTTTGTGAAAAAAAAGACGTTGCAGCACAAGGGATTTGGGCTGTTAAACATTCCCTAGATCTCAATAAAAAGGAGGATTCCATGCTCAAGAAGGCACCATGGGCAAAAGCCAAAATGATGAGCGAGTAGGTTATCCAGCCTTTTTTCTTTTACGGGTGTCTTTTGTAGCTTTATGCAGCGTTTCTGCAAAGGGGGCATTTAAATAGCAGACCTTGCAATTTAAGTACAAGGTCCATGTTCAAATGCATGTCAAGGCAAAAAATACATAAAACATTTAGTACATTTCAGGATTACATGCACATTTCTATGCTTTTTTTCTCCCTTTAAAATACAGCTCAAAGTACAAAATAAATATGCTCCTCCTAAATATGTGTAGACAGCCCTGCCTACCCAATTTTGGATTAATGTACAAAAAACATAGACCTCTCCTCATTTTCATACTCCTCCTTGTGCACCGACAGAGACAGTTAAAGGAAGTTATCAGCTCAAAAAACCTGTGGCAAACGCAACTGGTGTTTTTTTCACTTTTGCTAATAAACAAAACACTTTCAATAGTATATTTAGCAGGCCACAAAGGAGCAAATAAAGAAGGTACCGGTTCAGGTTTAGATACACTAATATTCTTGCAACAAATGGAATAGTAAACAAAAAAAATACAGCTAACCTTACATTGAAAAAGGTTTTGCATCGAAAATATAAAATTTCCAAAGAACTGAGGTAAAAATAAAAAACACCAAGGTTTTGGCGCTGTTACAATACGTATATGAATGAAGTTATTGTTACCGATCCAGATGACATCAGACGCACACAGCAACCCTTATCAATAGGTATTTATATGCAAAATCATTCGATTCTATGCATGACAACTTACCTCCATTTTCATAGCAATCATGACCATCAGTGGATCTCCAGCTTCTACTTTATCTCCAACTTTTACAAACACCTACAAACAAACCATGCATAATCAATACATAGTAAAACAGCCAGTTGTGTTAATTACAAATTTGTGCAATAACTGCTAAAATACCCAATCGTTAATTAGTAAATAAGAAACCATCACAAATTATGAAAACTAAAAACTACACTTGAGCAATAAGAAAGGTTTCCATCTAAACGGACTCAGCCGGTACAGCATTCCATTTATAGGTCTCCAATTTTAACCTTGACACTCATCATCTGAGGCTGACAGTCTAGTAAGCTAAATGGGCATTTCCTCTTCAGCATAAGGCAGCATGACCTCTTCAAGTATTCTGATGTATTCAAACTGATCCATGATCCCTGGTATGCGATAAATAGGCCCAACACCGTAGTATGAGAAACATCCCCATATCATGATGCTTGCACAACCATGCTTCACTGTCTTCACAGTGTACTGTGGCTTGAATTCAGTGTTTGGGGGTCGTCTGACAAACTGTCTCCGGCCACTAGACCCAAAAAGAACAATCTTACTTTCATCAGTCCACAAAATGTTACGCCATTTCTCTTTAGGCCAGTCAATGTGCTCTTTGGCAAATTGTAACCTCTTCAGCACATCTTTTTTTCAGCAGTGGGACTTTGTGGGGGCTTCTTGCAGATAGTTTGACTTCACATAGGGTCTTCTAATTGTAACAGTACTCACAGGTAACTTTAGACCTTCTTTGATCTTCCTGGAGCTGATTGTTGGCTGAGTCCTTGCCATTTTGGCTATTCTTCTCTCCATTTGAATGGTAATTTTTTCTTTCTTCCATGTCTTTCAGGTTTTGGTTGGCATTTTAAAGCATTTGCGATCATTTTAGCTGAGCAGCCTATCATTTTCTGCACTTCTTTATAGGTTTACCCCTCTCCAATCAACTTTTTAATCAAGGTACACTGTTCTTCTGAACAATGTCTGGAACGACCCATTTTCCTCAGAATTTCAGAGAGAAATGCACTGTAACCAGCATGTACAACATTTGCTGCCTTCCTTCCTTAAATAAGGGCAATAATTGCCACCTGTTTTTCAAAGAATGAATGACCTCATTATAGAACTCCACACTGCTATTATTTTGAACATGCCCCTTTCAATTAGTGATTCAATTACACAGAATCAGCAGCATGCATGTCATGACTGTTGGATTTCTATTACTCTACTATACCTGCTAATAAATTATTTGCCATGTAGAAATATCACTTCTACCAAAAACAGTGATTGATCAGGTTAGTGATGTCTGACTGCTATTATTTTGAACACAACTGTATATACTGCTATGATTTTCATGTCTACAAAGCTGAGTTTGTTCTAGAAGCTTTCCTTTCTCATAAGCAGATTATTTTTTTTATCCAAACCAGCTTCAGTGCACTGACATGATCAGGAAGCTGCAGCTCCCATGCATCAGAGAGCACTTGACAACAGGGTTGAATTTTTGGGGTCGCAACATCACCACCAACTTCCATTGCCGAAACCCCTCCAGTTTGTCAGAGCTCCCTCCCACCCCCTTCAGAAGCCGTTCGCCGACACAAGGGAGCCACAGCTTCTTGATCACATGAATACCCCAAAGCTAAATTAACCATTAGCCGCCCGGCCAATGGCCGTTTGGCAGCTTCAGAAGTGTCTCTCCGTTCCGGGTACACGCCATTTGGCGTGCTCCCGCACATGCGCCGTTTGCGCTAGTGCAGAGCGGCGCAGCAGTGCGATCTGTCATCGGCCGTGCACCTTGGACACGGCCAATGACAGATCCGAGTACCGGCTCCCGTTGCTGGTACCATGTGACCTGCTGTGACCAATCACAGCAGGTCACATGACAGTTGTATACAATGGATGGCTTCATTCATGATGCCATCCATTGTATACTAGTGCCTAGCTGTGAATGGCCACAGCTAATCACATGTCATGTGATTAGCTGTGACCAAATAACAGCTAAGCACAAAAAAAAAAAAAAAAAAAAAAAAAAAAAAAAAGCTGAATGAATCGATTTCATTCAGGTAAATGCTTGCTTATAGCAAAGTAATTCTTTGCTATAAGCAAATTGTGTAAAAAAAAAAAAAAAAAAAAAATACTGATCACTTCCCCAAAGTAGTACAATGTTACTCTGGTAACATTGTACTATTTTGGTCATAGTAAAATATGAAAAAAATCTTAATTTTTTTTAAAAAAATTAAAAAAAAAAAATGTAAAAAAAATAAAAAATTATATATATAAAATAATATATATATATATATATATATATATATATATATATATTTTTTATATATTTTATCCTGTCACCAGTCAGTGTCCCTGTTCACCGCCATGCCAGTTATATGATGACGCTGTACTGCACTGGTGACAGTATGTAAAAAAAAAAAAAAAAAAAAAATAGTGAAAATAATTTTTTTCATTTTTTCATTTTCCGAAAAATTATGACAAAAAAAAAAATACAACTTCAAAAAAACTCGCCATGCCTCTTATGAAGTAAGTCGGACTGTCTACTCTGCAAAAAGGGGTCATTTGGGGATATCTGTACTATTCTGACATTCTTGGACCTCAAGAAATTAGATTGGCCGTCAGTACTTCAGGATTGATCAATTTTCAGATCTATACCATAGTTTGTGAACTCTATAACTTTCCTAAAAACTAAAAAATACATCCTAATTTGGGTTATTTGCACCAAAGACATGTAACAGAATACATCTCGGCCTAAATTTATGAAGAACATTTATTTGTAAACTTTTATAACAGAAACAAAGAAAAATTTGTTTTTTTTTTTTCAAAATTTTTGGTCTTTTTTTGTTAATTTAGCAAAAAATAAAAACCCCAGTGGTGATTAAATACCACCAAAAGAAAGCTCTAGTTCTGTGAAGAAAATGATAAAATTTTAGTTTGGGTACAGTGTTGTATGACCGCGCAATTGTCATTCAAAGTCTGAGCGCTGAAACCTGAAAAATGGCCTGGGCAGGAAGGTGTAAAATTGCACGGTATTGAAACTGTTAAAAAAAAAAAAAAAAAAAAAAAAAAAAAAAAAAAAAAAAAAAAAAAAAAAAAAAAAAAAGTATTTACACTGATCTCAAACTATATGCAGCACAGGTATGGAGGAGGACGATGCAAAATTTTTGGCAGACTTTACTTCCACTTTAAAAACTATTAGAAAAGAAAAAAAAGGGTTAAAATGTATTACCTTTTCTATTGTTCCAGTCATGGGTGCTACAGCCCCTCCTTGACTTCCTGAGGTGCTTACTTCAGAGAGAAATTTGGGAACAGGAATATCTAACTGGACACTGTCCTCCTGCAGTAAGAACACATGGATTGTTTCAGATACAGCAAACAGTAGAAGAGCGAGATATATACCAGTCCCCTACTTTCAAAAATGTCTGTATACAAAATAGAAATGTACCTATTTTGTATATAGCGAAATAACGTACTGTTGAGTAATCTTTGTCTAACTGGACAAAGTTTACTCAATATTCTATTTATCGTTCATGGTTTTCTTTGCTCACGTAAAGTCCAAGTTTAAATCAAACTTAAAAAAAGAAAAAAAAAAAACCCAGCACAAGCACTTACTATGAATGTGATACTTGGATATCATTGATGCTGCTAAGGTTATTAGAGCCAAGGGATTTGTCATATGCACTCATCAAGATCATAGATTGATCTTCATTCACAGAAACTATAGTACAGCTTGTATGAATAGAGAAGATGGTCGGAACGGTTGGGCAAAATTGACAGTCTTAATATAGTCTCTCTCTCTCTCTCTCTCTCTCAACTTCTAACTAAAGATGGCCATACATCAGGGCTTGACAAATACCAGCTCGCCATGGTGGCTAGAAATTGCATCCTGGTGCCTGGGTTCACACACGGCCATTGAGTTTCAATGCAAAAACGCCTGTCAATAGCAATCCTATGTGAACACATTTCCGCATGCTACGCTATCACTCGCAAGTCTGGAACGCACCTCTACAAACTCACACAGGACCCTTTTCGTAATGGCACTGAAAACACAATGCGTGGATCGCATCTGTGTGAACCACTTCAATAGGAACACATATCTAGCCTGTCATGCGAATCTGTGAGTTTGAAAACTCATTCAGAATCGCATGTGCAAACCAGGGTGATCATGAATGGCACTTAAAATGTGGTGCGGTTTTGCCAGGATTGTCGCACGGCAAATTACATAGTGTGAAGCTTGTCACCCAAAAGTTGCCCCGGGCGCTGACAACCCATGCTACATTAAAAAAAAAAAAAAAAAAAAAAAAAACTGGCTCCTATATTTTTTTTTTTTTTTTTTTTTTTAGCTGGCTCACAGATTCAAAAGTACATTTGTCAAGCCCTGCCTTATTTTATGCAATTTTCGGAATCAATTTCCTTTAGATTTACCTTAAACTATGTAGTGCAAGGAAGGGCCTGTGTAATTGCAAACAAATTGAAAGTGTTCAGATTTACCAAAACCATATAATATAAGGTCAAACCTAAAAGTAAAATTGTACAATTTTATAATGTATGGCCAGCATAAGGTTGGGACATTAAAATGTAACTATACTTTCAGTTCTGTGTGCACAATAGCATTTCTACAGCTTCTGCACATGGACCTTGTCACTGGGCTAGAGGTAGTTTGAGGTACCAACAATGTGATATCTATAGATTTAAAAAAGCAAAAACCTAAAATTGTGATATAATGCTGTGTTACCATTGAGAAGAGGTGGATAGTGTTATCAAGGATAATGAGCTTGGATTTACAAATTGTGCCATCCACAGAGCATTTTAGGAATGTCATGCCACCTTCATTCAGAAGTTCTCCCGAAATCTGCAGAACCTTATCCTGAACCTGAAACATAAATAAAAGCATAAAAAAAAAAAAAAAAAACAAAAAAAAAAAAAACAAAAAAAAAAAAAAAAAAAAAAAAACACACACCACACAGGTGCTCAGACAACCCAGCTCATGTTATCCCCATATCTATCCATTACACAGTCTATCACATTTGTCACCTGAATTTGCCACAACTGTCAGCAATCAACAATGGTCATGTAATGTTGACTGCCACATTAAAAGAATACATAGAGTGCCAACTATTCATTCTGAACAGATTAATACAAACGGCTTCTATAGGTAAAGAGGAATCTAATGAAGGCTATTAACTTGTACCGGTTTATAATGGTCTGATGAGGAGCAGTCAATACCAATTCCTGAAATCAATGGTTATCCATCTACGACATACAATAATCTTACCATCAATTCTGATTAAACGGTTTTGACACTCAGCAAATCATTTTGACTTGGTGGAAGCCATACTACAGTTGTTCTAGTGATGCAAAGAAGCTTACTGAGATATAGGCAGATTATCTAATCTATCGTCAACAACCATAGCAAGTGATTTAATGTATTGTATTTTCAATTTTTTGCCTGTGAGATTACAAAAATTTCAAAATCTCCAAGCCACACTGACTACAGTTTACCATGCAGGTCATGTAGTTCAGTCCATGTTCCTAGTTACTGCATGTCAAATGAGCCGTCATGGTTGTAATTGATTTTCAAGTCCACTTCTGTTAAAAAAAATAAAATAATATATGGGTTTCTAAAATGTTTGACAACATGCAAGCAATGTACGTAATAGTAAAAGTTTACCTGAACAAAGGATGACACAATTAGTAAAAGTAAGATCTGCTTTAAAGTTTGGTACACACATGCCGAAAATCATCTGAAAATGGTCGGTTCGCCAGGAACCAGTACTTTTGCGCTGTGCATACAGCTCTGTGTCTGAGAGCAGCTGGTCGGGAGAGTTGGTAAGGGAGTACTCTGTTAGTTCACCTTTTCAGGTAAGTGTCTGTATTTTAAAAGTCAGCAGCTACAGTTTTTGTAGCTGTTGACTTTTTATTTTTTTTCCAGGTGGAACCCCAGTTTAGAAAACAAAAATTGCTACTTTTAATCAGGGACATGGAATTTTCACTGATGGGAACCCAATAGTTCTTTCATGACCTGTTCATTCCTAATCACGCGAGGCTTGTGATGAGTTTACTCCACAGCAACAGCAGAGAGTTAAGCACCGTACATACAATAAGAATATTGGACGAATGCTAGTCTCATAACAAAAGTGAAGCGGTTACTAAAGTTACGAAAATTCTTGTACGACAGAAAGAAAAATTCAGAAGTAAAGCATTTGTGCTGTATTTTTGGATGAAAACTGTGCGAATTAAAAAGGAAAAATTTCCGTGCTTGTCCCTTCAAATAATTTCGGACGAAAGCTGTGTATGAACGATCACAGTATCATATGATCACTTAGAAAGCGGTATGTTTCTTACGATTTTCTGACCATGTGTACTAGGCTTATGACATTGATCAATGTTAATGTTTGGAAACTAAGGGATACTCTTTATTAGCAAAGCTCACACTTCCCACTGAAAGGGTCAGACATTAGTAGAAGTCCAATGCTTCCACACAGAACACAGCGGTCTTTAGTTGTATGCTCCTAACAGGAAAAGGACTTTCTGCTGGAGATGTCTCTCGCTCTCCCCCCTCTCTCTACTTAAAAAGTGTTACTAAACCCACAACCGTAAAATCAGTCTGTACATACAATAAAGCATGCTTGTTATAATCACTGTGGAACCTAAGGGGCGAATCCTCTGCACTGTGTAAAAACGTTGTTTGGTCCTGACTTCTCTGATCCTCCCCTTCTTTGCCTGATAAGACATATTGTATGGAGTCACTCTGCACATGCTCAGTTTGGTGTGTATTGCTAGAGAGGGTTTTTTTTTTTTTCTTGGTACGGTGCATGTGATCAACACAGGGCCAATCAACACTGTCCAGACAGAGGTCAGGGGTTCTGCATCCTCCAGTGCAAAGTGAAAACTCCTCATACAAGCTTTGACCAGTGCTTGGCTGCACACTGAAAAGTCACAAGACTGCTCTAACTGCTGATGAGAAAAAGGTATTTAGCAGTGCATATTTACTAAAATAATTGCACTTCCATGTTCTGTGTACAGTGGGTGACCAGATAAAGTGAATCTAGGGTCCTGGGTTTAGTAACAATTTAAGGTTATATTTCGGAGGGAACCTTTCTAAATTATTTACATACCTCTGCTCTTCGTAGAGAAACTGAAAAACAAAGTAAAAATCATACAATATATCCAGAAACACAAAATTCACCTACGGTTGTCTCCATCCAGCAATGTGAGGTTCCTGGTATATAAAATATTTATTCTTCTGCCACTGCCAGAAGCAAATGGAGAGAATTTGTCTACAAAGCAAAACAAAAAGTCAGATTTCCGCATTTTGCACGGTTTCTTGCAGACAATGCAGATTACGTTTACTCTCATTCTATATGCCCTGAAGCCACCTGTTTTAAAAGTATTTTTTAGTCTCACCTGCAAAACAACATCACATCTTATACATATCTGGATTCTCACAAGCAGAAAATGGTTTAAACAAAAAAAAACAAAAACACACCACACATATAAAAGAAGATCACGGTTTCTCACTTAGCATTATACAGTATATATAACACCATAGTGGCGTTTGGAGCTAAACATGCAGAAATATTTTGTCTCTGTACCACCAACTTCCTTGTTTGTGCTATGCAGAATCACCACATATAGGGTATCGATTTACTAAAACAAAATATAGACTGTTCACTCTGCAAGTGCAATTGCATTTTGCAATGGAATTTTCCCCAGAGCTTAGTGAATGAGAGGGAAGCTCTGCGGAGTTCCATCATCCAATCAAAAATGCTATTTTTTTTTCCCCGTATTTATGCATCCTTTGCAAAGTTAAATTTCACCACATTAACAAAGCTCTTGGGAATATTCCCTTGCAGAGTGAAACTTTCCCTTGCAAAGTGGACCGTGTATTTGTCTTTAGTACACCAACCCCTTAGTGTGAAAGAGTGCTGTAGTACTGTAACAGAACCCTCAGACCAACACTAGCAGAATACATACTGCTTTAACCACCTCCCACCCGCCATATAGTCCAATGACTGGCGCAAGGTAGTTTGCTTGTTCTGGGAGGACTGAATCATATGACGTCCTCCCATTCTCACTACGCATGCGTGGCTCAGGGAGCGCGCAGCGCGGCGATCAGCAGTGCGCTCTGTCCCTCAGCGGATCACCGATCACGGAAAGAGCTGAAGATGTCGGCTCGGTCATGTGACCAGCTGTGTCCAATCACAGCTGATCACATGTAAACAGAGAAATGCCGGTTATCGGCATTTCCCTCCTCTCGAGCTGTCACGCTGACAGCTCGAGAGGACAGCCGGTAATCGGCTTTCCGCGGACGGGACATGTATACTGATCATCAGGGCACTGATGATCAGTGTAGCCCCAGCAGTGCCACCTGTCAGTGTCCATCAGTGCCTCGTGCCAGTGCCACATATCAGTGCACATCAATGCCACATCAGTGCCCATCTGAGCTGCCTTTCAGTGTCACCCATCAATGCTGCCAGTCAGTACCGCCTATCAGTGCCTCCTCATCAGTGCCCACCACTGCAGCCTCATTAGCGCATATCAGTGAAGGAGAAAAATCACTTATTTACAAAATTTTATAACAAAAGAAAAAACTTTTTGTTTTCCAAAATTTTCATTGGTTTTTGGTTTAAGAAAATATAAAAAAACCCAGAGGTGATTAAATGCCACCAAAATAAAGCTCTGTCACAAAAAAAAAAAAAAAAACGATAATTTCATATGGGTACAGTGTTGTATGACCGCGCAATTGTCATTCAAATTGCGACAGCGCTGAAAGCTGGAAGTTGGCCTGGGCAGGAAGGGGGTATAAGTGCCCTGTAGGCTAGCAGTTAAATAAAGATCCCATTAAATAAATTGGCATGTAGGAATTTCCATTAATTTACCAATAGCTAAATATTGCATTTTTGAGCAAACCAAGACAACCATTATGGGGAGGTTGTAGAGTCATTCTACTATACTCAAAAAAGGTAAAAAATGTAATGTGCAGTAACCAACAACCAATGAACATTCACCTTTCACTGACTAGAGAAAACAAATTTTAATTGTATCTACTGATCGCTGGAACAATGGTTTACAGGCTCCTGCAGACAAATAAATGCACATTTTTTTTTACCTGAAAAAAAAAAAAAAAAAAAAAAAAAAGGATTTATTTTTTCTAAAAAGGTGAACTTATTCTTTAAGCTTCAACTCCTTAGGATTAGTATCATGTCATATTTAATATGACCGAGTACTATATATGTAACACTAATGTAGCTATAATGGTCTTTTTTTGTCCCAAACTATGGCTTTTAAAACCCATCTACATTTGAGGAACAGTTGCATACTACTGTGTGCCACAGCATAAATATGCTACAATGACAACACCTTAGTAGGCTCCACAGGTGCTACACTATCTACACTACAGGAATGCACCTTTACATTATAATGGAGCCACACAATTTTAATATTATAAAAAAAAGGAGTCACTGCCTGTTTTTAACGTGCGAGATCTTACACACTTATTTTGATTAGTATGAGACACTGTATGTAGAATATAGACAAAGAAACAAACCTTCCCAATGCACATTAAACTCATTGGTTAATAGTTGCTCCTTCAGAATGAGACCCAGAGCAGCCTGGCACAACATCTGATTAGAGATTCCTTTCTTAGGAGGAAACAGCTCATTATAATGCTGGGGGATAAAACTGGTATGTACATCCCCTGCTTCAAATGCTGGATGTCCAGAGAGACTAAGGAGGAAATCAATATTGGTGCTCAGCCCTACAATCTGTAAAGACAGTCCAGAAGGCAAATCAATAAAAACATATTAAGAGTGTGAATGAAACAGAGAAGAACGTAATTTTGTTATAGATTTTTTCTATTAACCTGAGCATTTTATAACAGATAATCAAAAACAAAGCTAATAAAATGTAATCCCACAATGTACATTATAAGATTATTAGCATTCAAAAAGGAGTTTCAGCGATCAAATAAATGTTAGTACTGCATTATTACAGGTTGAGAAAATCACAAAGGCTGTCATTGCTGACCTCTTCTGAAATGCTACCTATCTCGCTGTTATGTTGAGGACTTCCCTTCAATGCTTCTTGACTAACTGGCCTGGAACATAAATTACTGTCTCATTTACAGCATGCATGATCCTGATCTTTGACTCAAAATGTACTGATGCCAGACACAGGTAGGCAACTAGTATCTTATATAGTTTATATTTCGCTATTACTTTAGCTGTATTTACTTTGAGCACGACTGCAAACCTGGCCAAACATAGCTCAAATTCCGGCCAATTCCTGCTGAATCAACCCAAATTCAACCTGTGGGTGGCCCTTCAATAAAAGGGAGCTGGCTGGAAAATTATCAGCTGACTAGTGACTGCATCCAATCAGATACAGACACATTGTTCAAGAAATTCAAGAAGTCATGGGTGCCACAGCTGCCTAAATACAACAGCCGTGCATCCTAAATTTTCGGTTCTGGTACCAGAATTTTCATTTCTGGTGCACCACTACTGGAGGATATACCATCCCCTACAGACCTATGTTTTCACTGGCACATTTAAAAAAAGGGGACATCCTGAGGCTACAAAGATATAAGATTCGTGTGCATTTATATGGGGCCATGTTACTGCTTATAATGTAATAGATCAGGAATTGACAGCTGTGACAGGTTACTATGATTTTTGCTTTATTTTAGGAATATCGGTTTTGGGAATCCTGGAATATGTAGGTGTCTACACTTTAATTGGAATTTGAGGACCCCTCCTATCAACCTTATTGAAGTCTGTGCATGTGTACCTTTTGGAAGCAATAAGTGGTGGGCCATGGTGTTTTGCTCTGGGGCCCAATTATAGTTCATGGATTTTTTTTAGTGGTTTTTATGCCACAATATATACACACATGCTAAGTTTTTGATCTAGGGGACACCTATTTTTTTAGAAGGGGAAATTAGACATTATACCTCTCATCTTGTTGTACTTTGTATTTCATCTAGTTGGGTCTTTTGTTACCCAAACTTCTAAATTTGTGACTTGCCTAATAGTCCATCTGGAATCTATATCTGGGGTGATTGTCTGGTCTTGTATGTGCCTGTATCCACCCCCAGGAATTTATTTATTTTTTTTAATAAAGGTTTATGAAAATATGTTCACAGTATGAATATTTATGCATTTGTTATATTCTACAGTTTATGGTAACAAAAATACCAAACCAGAAGCAAGAAGAATTTGCAAAAAACGCATTGACTTTTGAGTATGGAGACGATGGACTATAATCCAGAGAACTGCTGTCAGAGAGATCCCTGCATCAACACAAGCGATGTTGATGCAGGGATATTTACGTAGCTGGTCAGACAGTTGCTGCTGTGTCAACATCCTGATCTTATGCTGACAACAGACAGACAATTATCAGCATGAAGTTAGGCAGTTCACAGGCTAAAGCTGCTAATACACTGATGGCAGAAAAAAAAAAAAAAAAAAAAAAAAAAAATTCCTCCTTCCACACAAACAATGCAAATGGTGCAATTCCTCCACTGCAAGATTGCATTCTGACAGCGGCACTGTCACTTTCAGAGCATACTGATCAACGACCGCAGCCATTGACTGATGGAAAATTTTCAAACATGTCCCTTTGCCAGAAGTTGATTAAGAAATGATGCTGTAGAAAATTGTGGAAGGTTTTACTCACATTGTACTGCCGTAAGCAATATCTTAGTTTTGTCAGTGCTGCTTGCCGATCCTTTGCCCAGACCACCAATTTGGCAATCATGGGGTCGTAGTGTACAGAAACCTCGTCACCTGTCAGTTTGGAAGAGAAACAAAGCAAAATTATTGAGCAAAAAAACCTGACTCATCTGCCAAACTGCCTGTTTTATATGGTGCTTCCCAACTTGAAAGCTTAATATATAATTTATTATTACATTACATCAGCTTAAAGTGGTATTATACCAAAAAGCAGCATTTCTTAGATGTAATTGCTGCATTATTTTTCTTTTTTTTAGGATTTCTTTCTTCTATTTTCACACTCCTCCACCCAGAGTGTGGCTCTCCAGGGACTCTCCCTCCTCATTGGCTAAGACAGCAGCAGAAGCCATTGGCTCCTGCTGCTGTCAATCACAGCCAGTGAGCCAATGAGGAGAGAGGAGCAGGGCAGATGCATGCATGTGCGCAAATGGACACAGAGTTGAGGCTCGGCAGCAAGCTGCTTGCTCTGGGGGCACGCGGCAAGAGGGAGGGAGGTCGGGGGACCTGAGAAGGTGCATTGGGACTGCTCTGTGCAAATCCACTGCACAGAGCAGATAAGTATGACATGTTTGTTATAAAGAAAAAAAACAAACAAAAAAAAAAAAAAAAAAAAAAAAAAAAAAAAAAAAAAACACGTTTTTCTTTGATTCTGTTATAAAAGTTTGCAAATAAATAATTGCTCTTCATAAATTTAGGCCAAGATGTATTCTGCTACATGTCTTTGGTGAAAATAACCCAAATTAGGATGTATTTTTTAGTTTGGAGGAAAGTTATAGAGTTCACAAACTATGGTATAGATCTGATTATTGATCAATCCTGAAGTACTGACAGCCAATCTAATTTCTTGAGGTCCAAGAATGTCAGAACAGTACAGATATCCCCCAAATGACCCCTTTTTGCAGAGCAGACAGTCTGACATACTTCATAAGAGGCATGGCGAGTTTTTTGAAGTTGTATTTTTTTTGTCATAATTTTTTGGAAAATGAAAAAAAATAAATAAAAATTATTTTTCACTATTTTTTTTTTTTTTACATATTGTCACTAGTGCACTACAGCGTCATCATATAACTGGCATGGTGGTGATCAGGGACACTGACTGGTGACAGTATGAAAGAAATATATTTTTTTCTTTTATTATTTAAAATGTGCTTACATTTTTTCTCTTTTAAGATTCTTTTTTCATATTTCACTATGTCCAAAGTAGTACAATGTTACCACAGTAACATTGTACTACTTTGGGGAAGTGATCAGTATTTTTTTTTTTTTTTTTTTTTTTTTTTTTTTTTTTTTTTTTTTTTTTTTTACACAAAATTTGCTTGTAGCAAAGAATTACTTTGCTATAAGCAAGCATTTACCTGAATGACATCGATTCATTCAGGGTTTTTTTTTGTGCATGTGATTAGCTGTGAACATTCACAGAGACACTAGTATACAATGGATGGCATCCATTGTATACAACTGTCATGTGACCTGCTGTGATTGGTCACAGCAGGTCACATGGTACCGGCAACTGGGCCAATACTCAGATCTGTCATCGGCCGTGTCCGAGGTACATGGCTGGTGATAGATCCCCCGCTGCGCGGCTCTGCAAGCGCGCGAACTGCGCATGTGCAGGAGTACGCCAAATGGCAACCTCCCGGAAAGCTAGTACATTTTTCCGGACGCCATACGGCTATTGGCCAGGCGTCAAATGGTTAAATATCATTTTAACCCCCTTTCCACTGAGCGCACGCAAATATGCAGCCCCACTGGACTGGGTTTTTTTCAGTGAGGCTGCATATTTGTCTTTGAGCTAGGTGCGCAAAGCACAGCATTCTCCCAGCACGGAGACCAGAGAGAGAGAGCGAGAGAGCGAGAGAGAGAGAGACGGAGTCCCTCCCTCTCTCTAAAAAAAAAAAAAAAAAAAAAAAAAATAATATTAATAGTAATAAATAAAAACCCCTGATTAAGGTTTGATCTAGGTCAGTGCCAGGGCTAGTCTCTTGGTCATGGTTAGTTTTTTTTGGGACAGGATTTTTTTTTTTTTTTTTTAATTAGTATCAGTTTGTGTCAGTGTGTTTTTGGGGGCAAAAACCCCAAAAGATGTGCACTATTGTTTCTGGGCTGTACTACAGGTACAAACAACAACATACAGTACACATGTGGTATTGTTGCAATTGTCAGGAGAACTATTTGTAGCACGTTTCCTTTTGATAAAAATAATCAAAAATCAAGGGATATTCATTACCATTTACCACCAAATCAAAGCCCAATTTGTCCTGAAAAAAAACAAAAAAAAAAAAAACAAAAAAAAACAAAAAAAAAAAAACTGTATAATCCACCTGGCTGCACAAAGTTGTGGTAATATGCACGGTTTTACGAACATGTCAAAGTTGCAAAATTCTGCTTAGGCATTAACATTTGTTTTACCCTTAGGCGTGGTTATGGTTCTTAATATATATATATATATTCTTAAGAAAAATAGCTTCACAAAAAGGGGCACATTAGTCCAACATGAAGGAAGTTGTACAGAAGTTTTAGAAAACCCATTAGGAACCTGGAAACTCTAGTCACAGTGGATTTTGTATAACCTAAAATAAACAGAGTGCAATTTTTGACTAGAATTATCGGTAATCTTTACTGGGTAGGATTAATTAACTGACTTTGTTTGGAGGGATATGTTTATAATATTTTACAAAAAATTAAAAAGTGTGATCACCTTGCCTGACTCCAGTTTCAATGCGAGTGTAAAGATCGGCAGGTGGAGTAGAAAGATGTAGAAGTGGGCCGGCTCCAGGCATGAAGTTATTGTTAGGATCTTCTGCATATATCCTAGCTTCAAATGCATGGCCATTCAAAGTAATCTCTTCCTGTGTTGCAGGGATCCTTTCCCCAGCAGCCACCTGCAAAATACCAATGCTTTCCTTTATAGCCAGAACAGCATAGATCAATGGTTTGAGAATGGTCAATGTGTTGCAAATACAATAATTTAAGGCAAGCAAAATACAGATGAAAACTTGCCAAGCCAAATCTGACATTTCCCACATACAGTACATGTAAAGATAAGTTTTTGCAAGAAAATTATATATGATATATATATAGAAATTTTCTGAAAGCAAGTCCCTGGAAAATAAAATGGTGGGTGCTGTAATGTTATAATGGGACGAAGAAGCCCAGTAAAGGCAGCGGGGAAGGGGAACCCCTTCTGCCGCTTGTAAAAGCAATTGGGCAGCCATATAGCCGCTTGGATAATTTTTGGTTAAAGAAAGAAAATCACCGTCTGTAAAGAATGATATCTGGATCATGGTTGCAGCTACAGCCATGACCCAGATATCACCATCACTTCATGAGGATATATATGCGCAGGTTTGGTGGGCAGTGGTTAAAACCATACAGAAGATTGTTGTCTTTGGAGCACCAGCACATATAAAAAGTCACCAAATCTGGATGAGGTGTATTACAAGGAAAGTGACAAGATACAATTAGGAATACCAGAGAAAGCAATGAGCTCACACTCAATATTATAATAGGTTACATTTTGTAGCTTCAACCCACATTTTTTATATGGAATTTGGTAACGTGCATTTAAAATTTTAAGTGGAATATGGCTTTAACCATCTACAAGCAATAAAAACCCATTTACATAAACAACTCCCAAACGACCATTAAAAAAGGGTAGGCACAGACAACATTAGTGTGGATCTTTTTGTTTGAATTAGTCAATTTATATATTAGTCTCAAAACCATCACAATATGCTCAAACAAAACTACAATACAAAGATGAATACAAAAATGTGAAAATCCATATAGTCTACAAAAAAAACAAAAATAAAATTATTCAATTGTTTCCAAAAAGTAAAGTCATTCCCACTCTGATTCCAATAAGGAAAATTCTCAGATCTTTGTTGCAGAGCCCTCCAAATGGCTCCAAAAAGGAAAATGTGAACCTCAGAAGTTTTTTTTTTTTTTTTTTTTTTTTTTTTTTTTTTTTTTGAGGTTCACGTTTTCCTTTTGGAGCCATTTGGAGGGCTCTGCAACAAAGATCTGAGAATTTTCCTTATTGGAATCAGAGTGGGAATGACTTTACTTTTTGGACACGAGTGAAAAATTTTATTTTTGTTTTTTAGAGACTATATGGATTTTGACATTTTGTATTCATCTTTGTATTGTAGTATTGTTTGAGCATATTGGGGTGGTATTGAGACTATTACACTTTCAAGGGTGAAAGATAGACCTTTATGCTATAGGGTGCAGTTTTTTAGTTTTTGTAATTGGATACCGTAGTTTATCCATTTAATTTATATAAACAGCTCTCACAGCTTCAGAAAATGACACTAAATTAACACATTGTTGTTCGATATCTAAATAATTCTACCATTAGATATTATAGAAAAAAAATTACTATTTTTTTTTTTTATTTCCTAAGTGCTCTTTAAAAGAAATGTGGTTTGTATTTGTATAAAATGTAATTTATAAATGTAGTTTAGGATCACATCAACCTTTTTATCCTGAAGGAAACCCTCCACCTTTAGCAGGAGAACAAAAGTGGAGCCTCAATTTTTTTCCCAATCTGAGTTACTTCACATGTACTTCCAAACAGAATTTGACTTGTTTGGAGAGAAAAACAGCTCTTACATGAAAAAAAATCTCATTCAATATCACCTTATTTACACTGCAGCTTTAGGAACTAATGCCTTCATTTTTTTTTCTGTAACCACTATATACGGAATAATTTTACAGACAATCTGTTGGAGGTCCTTATACTTACTCGCAGCTGCCACTCCACCAGGTCAGTTCCAGTGATCATCTCTGTGACTGGATGCTCTACCTGCAGTCGGGTGTTCATCTCCATGAAATAGAAATTCTGTTGTGAATCCATAATAAATTCTACTGTGCCTAAAAGAAACAATGATTTGTCAAAAAAGGGACACATTTCTTGCAGCTAGACAACTCCATATCTGATATGCCTGCTCACACATCAGGCTATATACTCCTCTTTTATAATATGGAGACATACCTGCACCCACATAGTTGACTGCTTTTGCAGCTCTGACAGCAGCTTCTCCGAGTTTCTGTCTGACCTCAGGACTGATTCCAGGCTGTTAACATATTAAAATATATTCACAAAAACCCTTGCATTGCTGTGCTGTCCAAAACACATTTACATTAGAATAAGGGGGTTAGGTCAGCTGTTGTGTTGAAAAACAGCAAAGTTATCACATGCTTATCCCAATTCGTAAATTAAACCTTTTTTTTTTAATCATTCAAGCTAAAGGAAGCAAAAAAAAAAAAAAAAAAAGAAGAAGGGGTACACTAACCAATTATACAGGTGGAACAGTCAGTATTACGAAAGGAAAAAAAAAACAGTATATCTCTTTAGATCATTGGCAACACACAGCTTTAAAAACTTTTTTGTAAATAATGAATGCCTCTAGTGAAATAGAATTAGTCTTACCCCAGGCGCTTCCTCTATGATTTTCTGATGTCTTCTCTGAACACTGCAATCTCTTTCAAATAAATAGACAGCATTTCCATGCTGGTCCCCAAACACCTGGACTTCTACATGTCTTAGAAGAAGAAGGGAAAAAAAAAAACAAAAAACAAAAAACAAAAAACACACACCACAAATTAGGGCTTATGATCCCAACCAAATTAAAACTCAGCCCTCTTAACTACTTTGCCCCCCACCCTATTCCCCCATTATCCATGAAATTAAACCTCAAAAATTAATCACATCTTTTCTTGGTTTTGTGGGATCAAGGTCCTAAAAAGGATATTTTGCCCAAGTGTATTTCTAACAATTTCAATATACCTCCCCTATACCTTACAACATACAGTAACCAGCAAAGTTGTAATGTGCTTGGGCTGGCTTTGCATATTTTGAGATTAAAGCGGTACTGAACTTGAGGGGGGCGGCCACTTGACTGGTCGAGCCGAGATGACATCACTCCCACGCATGCTCATGGGAGTCTCAGCCACGGCACACAACTCTTACGGAATAGCACAGGTATGTGCCATAGACATCACTGGCTGCTACTCTATAGAATGTCTCCTAAACGGTGCACGTTTAGGAGATATTCATTTTACATACAGGTAAGCTTTCTTATAATCATACCTGTAGGTAAAAATTAAAAAAAAAAAAAAAAAAAAAAAAAAAAGGGACAAACAAAACTGCATTTTGCAAGCACATGATTAGATGATAGAGTCAGCAGAGTCAATGATTTCTGAGGATAATTCCCTCGCACTGTGCAACTTTTGTCTTTTGTCAGTCTATTTGTCTTTAGTAGATCAACCCCTTTATGTGCAATATAGTGGTAGGAAAAACCTCTGGGGAAGTACTAAAGACACAGTGGTACAAGTTGACAAAATTATATGTGGATCAATATTATACAAAATTTTAAAAGATTCTATTTTTACCTTGGGTTGTCCACAAATTTTTCAATCAACATGACATCATCATTAAATGACTTTCTTGCTTCTCTACGAGCAGACTCCAGTTGCTCCACAAACTCTTCCTCAGACCTTGCAATTCTCATACCCTGTAAAGGCAATGATAAATCATACATGATTATTGCATATGACATTTCTAATAAAACTATTAGCTATGGCTACAAAAATGTAAATTAAAATGTATACATTCAGAGAAACTCTCCATTTAGTTGTCTTCAAACAATATCCACATTACTGACCTGGCTAAGGAGAAGTTACTACAGAGTGCTAGCTTTATTAGCCTGAAAACCTCTGTAAACCTGGCTGTGCTTGCCTGACACAAGGGGGGGGGGGGGGGGGGTATAAGGGGGTTCAAGCTCCACCCACTCACGGGCCCACCATCCAATATAAGCACCTAAGAAGCGCACCCACATTAAATAGTGATGGGCTTAGCATATTTAATAAATACATTAATCTGAACCACTACACTAACGATAACAGTCTTTGTCATTTTTGAAAAAAAATGTCTCAAACAAAATAAATGTTACAAAGGATGATTGCAAAGTTACACTATATGGTAAAAAGTTTGTGGACACCTGACCTTCATACCTACACTATATGCCCAAATGTATGTAGATACCCCTCACAATTACAGAGTTCAGATGTTTCCAGTAAAGGGTACTATTAATGCTACAGCAAACAAAGACAGTTTAGATAAAAGTGCACTTCTGATCTATATAGACAAGGCTTGAAAGGTTTGGTGTAGGAGGAACCTGACTGGCTTGAACAGAACCCCAACTTCTACTCTATTAAATACCCTTCAGTTGAAGCGGAACCCGATTGCGAGCCAAGTCTTCTAATGCAACTTCACTCTCTGACCTTACAATCGCTCTTTTGGCTGAACGGACACACATTCCTAGACACACTGAACTCTTCTGGAAGGCTTTCAATGAGATCCTGGAGCCTGTTATAGCCACAACAGGGGCCAAATCCAGATTAATGCTCGTGGGTTTGGATGGTATGTCCAACAAACTCATAAAAGGTGTTATAGTCAGGCATCCACAAACATTTGGTCATATGTTGTAGATATGGCTGCTGTTGCTGTATTAGTTTACCGTATCCATAAGGACGCACCCCCCCCCCCCCAAAAAAATGGGGGAAAATGTCTTAGGGAGCGAATATGGAGCAGGCGGCCCGGTATTCCCACTGCCGCCATATTAGAATACCGGGCCACCACTGGGGGACTTTGTCATAAGAACCTGTTCCTGGAGCCAGCGCGGTGTCCCGCTTTCACAGGCCGTCTTCTCTCCCGGCATCTGCAGGTGTGGGCACCCGGCTGTGACAGCTTGCGGCTTCACAGCTGGATGCCCATTGCACATGAAGGAGAAGTGCTGAGCTTTGTGAATGGCCACCTGTAGTCTTCTGGGACCTGTCACATGTCCCACAAGGCTACGGAGAGGATAACTGTCAAATTTGGGTACCCGCCCTGTTCCCCAAAGGTCTGCAATCTCTGGTCATCTCCTGTACTATGTCCGCAGTCTATTGGTTCAGAATATTTTTTTACTTTTTTTTCCTTCTCTAACATTTAGGTGCGTCTTATGGTCAGGTGCATCTTATGGAGCGAAAAATATGGTACCTCATTAAAATCAGCATACCTTACCACCTCCACCACGGACAGCTTTGATCATCACCGGGTAGCCAATCCTCTTGGCTTGTTCTTTGAGATGCTGATCAGACTGCTCTTCCCCATGGTAACCCTCTATGATTGGGACTCCCGCGGCAGACATAATTGACTTTGAAGTGCTAAGAAGACAGGACAGATGTGTAACTGATCTCTATTACGAAAGAGAAGTGTTAACAAGACTAAGCACAAAAATTTTTGTTACCTCTTAATCCCCATATCTCGAATAGCAGACGAAGGAGGTCCAATAAAAATGATATTTTTTTTCTTACACAGTTCTGCAAATTCAGTGTTCTCAGAGAGGAAACCATAACCTGGGTGAATAGCCTGATATCAACAATAAGAATAATTAAATACAAAGAAGAATTCCAATGTAAAATACACAGATCTTGCATCTCATAAAATTTATTAAAGGACATACTAACAGAAGATTTAACATGATACTTTCCACTGTAATCAATTACTGCCAATCTTGTTTGAATCAGTATTTTAAAAGTGATTTAATGTACTCACAGACATTTCATCTAAAATTTACTTACAAATTTATAGAGCCATTTTAGCAACCCCGCCACACAACATAACCAGGTCCAGTGCCTGGCTGAAGACTATATTGCCATCAGCAACACAGCCTGGTCCAAGATTCGCAGGCATACAGACAGAAATTAAAAGCTAATCCTCTAAAAAGCTTTCCTCTACTCAGCTAAAAAAAAAAAAAAAAAAAAAAAAAAAAAAAAAAAATTTATTGCCATCTCAGATGCTGCAGAAGCTTTCCTCTCACTTACGGTCTGTTGAAACAGCGGTCACCGAAGACAATCGGTGAAGGTATATCTCTCTAATGGAGTCCTGGATAACACTAAAAACCTGACAGAAATAACCTTCTCTGTCTAAAGCTAAAAGTAGAATTGTGGCTGGACGTCTAACACAGAACTCTAAATGCAAATGTATAAGACACTTCTTGAGGTTTTAGTATATATTTGGTCAATCTTTAAGCCTCTCTTAAAGCTAAAAAAAAAAATGCTGTTGTGATGTGAGAATGGTTAACAGTGTGTGTCTGTAGACAAGATGTGTTCCTATTGGTGGGTGGAATAAGGGTAGATTACTATCAAATCCATTCCTTTATATATAATAAATGTCAAGTGGAAAACCCTATGCTTTTCTCTACAATTTCACATTCCTTTAGGGGACAGGACTCTCAGTATGTTCTGAAATATACATTCCTTGCAAGCATTTTAGCCCTCATGCACACAGGGCATTTGCCCAGCTCTCCTAAACGTATTTCCTCCTGACAGCTGTGTTTTGGCAGGAAAAAAACAAAAACATGCTTGACGCATGTACGTGCTCGTTAAGTGCTAATCGTAATTTATTATGGCCATTAAAATGAATTAATGCTCAAGCATTTGATGAGCCTAAACACTCGTCAATCGTTTTTTTTTTTTTCCCTGCCAAAAGGCTGCTGCTCCTGAACACAGAGGCAGTGAGGTTTTTTCGTGCCTCTAACTGCCTATGTGTGCATTGATACAGGCTAACATGGAGGGGCATTTATAGGCAGAAAGGGAAAAGTGTAGTGCAAGAACCCTCCTGATTAGATGCAGAATGATTGGAGACATTAGGTAGGTCTTCATATTACATCAGTTTGGAAAATCTAAACCTTAATTGTATAAAGATTGAATGACCAGATGTATGGCAACTTTAATACAAAAAAATTAGTTTCTGTAAATCTTAAAAATAATCCCTTAGCATGACTTTTACCAAACCTATAGAAAAAAAAAGCCTTTGCCATATCCAGGAACATATTCATATGACAAACCATGATATTACTTCTACATGTAGCAGAGTAGAACCTAGTTAATGTAAAAATTAAGCATTACATTCCAGGACGTATTACCTGAGCACCTGATGACATAGCCACACGCATTATTTTGTCCATGGCGAGATAGCTTTGTTGAGAAGCAGCAGGACCAATAAGATAGGCTTCATCTGCCTACAATAAAACTGAGGAGTTAACATTAGCAAAATAATGCACTAACAAAAGCAGACAGTTTTACTGCAAGCAGGGTCTAGTCCAGGTATGCCAAACTCAACTGAGCATACATAGGGTGGAAAAAAAAAATCATCATCAAAAAGCTATATATAATATTTACTCCATTTATAAAATTACATCTACAGCCACCCCCCCTTCCTCATTTCAGGTATGAGAACAGTCAAAATTGCTGTCATCTGTGCCCCATTCTCTGTTCACTACCTGTCCTATAGATACAACTGGAAGGGAGAGGAAATTTTTCCTAAAAGAGTGACAGTTGTCACTAGAATATGTGTCCCCATTGTAGGTTTTCCTATCAATTCCTGTTCTGTGACAACTAAAAACGTTTTAGATTTTTTCTCACTTTCAGCCCCAGTTACAATGGTCAGCAGGACCAATAAAGAGGCGACTCTCCCTAAAGAGCAAACAGACAGCAATAAAAACTTGGCAGATGTTCTAACCCCCTCACCAGTTTATCCAAAACTAATAGATACACATTAGGGGCTCATGCACAAAAAAGGTAATACATGCGGCTATCAGATCCAAAAAATGTATTTATTTTTTTATGGATCTGAACAGAACAGTATTATACACTATGGGCTCATGCACAGTTTCATTTACATCAGTATAATTACTCTGTGTAATGATCTATACACAAAAAAAACCAAACAAACAAAAAAAAACCTGAATCCCTGGTGAGTCATTTATGCATCTAAACATGTGTAAAAGAGTTTTGGAATAAGAATTTTGATCTGCTTTTATACATCTAAATGTGGGTTTACTAAAGCACTTTAACAAAAAAAAAAAAAAAATGAATTGTCAGTAAACAGGATCTTGCTGTGAGACCCTCTGCCAGCTGCAAAGCATTGAGAAGGCTTTATGTGGTCCAAAAACAGCACTTTGACAGATTTGGTCTAGACTCTGAAATGTACAATTATTTTTAATATAAAAAGAGGGGAGTGAGACACAAATACTAATAAAGGCAGTGTACCAGAGAGACGTGCATGGAATTCCTGTCTGCTTCACTGTACACAGCCACTGATTGCACACCCATCTTCTTTGCTGTCCGCATTACTCTGCATGCTATTTCCCCTCGGTTTGCAATAAGGACTTTCTCGATCTTGGATATCCCTGAAAAACAACAAACACAAAATAAAGATCAGACAGCAAAAATCGGCTACTGTTCCATTAAAAGTACTCACATATATAATAACTACTTGTCTCTATGTAATCAGTAATGCCATTGCACCAATACTGTTCCATAGGAAAAGAGCACAATCAGATGGGCATTTTATATGCTGTGACAGATGTTCACATCACCATTTGCTGTGTGGGTAACCCAACATCCTACTTTTAGGTCTGCAGTCACAGCACAGCAGTAAACCAGCAGTGTGAAAACCTGAAGTACCAAGTTTCCTCAACATTTCCTGGCTGCAGATGGGCAAGTGTGATATACACCGATCAGCCATAAGATTATGACCACCGGCAGTGAATAACATTGATTATCTCATGAAAATGGCACCTGAAAGTGGGTGGGATATATTAGACAACAAGTGAACATGTTGTCCCTGAAGTTAATGTGTTGAAACCAGGAAAAAAAAAAAAAAAAAAAAAAAAAAAAAAAAAAAAAAAAAAAAAGCGCAAGCGTAAGGATTTCAGTGACTATGACAAGGGCCAAATTGCAATGGTTAGACGGATAGGTCATAGCAACTCCAAAACTGTAGATCCTGTGGGAGATTCCTGGTCTGCAGTGGTCAGGACCTACCAAAAGTGGTCCAGGGAAGGAGAACTGGTGGACCAGTGTCAGAGTCATGGGCAGCCAAGGCTCATTGTAGCAGGTGGGGAGTGAAGGCTAGCCCGTGTAGTCCGATCGAACAAAAGAGCTACTGTAGCTCAAATTGCTAAAAAAGTTAATACTGATTCCAAAAGAAAGGGGTCAGAACACATAGCGCTTTGCTTTTTCTTGTGTATGTAGCCGGAGATGGGTCATGGTGCCCATGATTACCTGTGTCCACAGCAAAAGGAGCCTACAATGGGCATGTTAGCATCAGAACTGGACCATAGAGCAGTTGAAGGTGGACTGGTCTGATGAATCACATTTTCTATCATGCAGATGGCTGGGTGTGTATGCATCGATTACCTGGGGAAGTGATGGCACCATGATGCTGTATGGAAAGAAAGCAAGCTGATGGACAGTGATCTGCTACTGACAGCTTGGTGCCAGATACCACAACATACCTACAGAAGTCTAGTGCAGTCCTCAAAGGATCAGGGCTGTTTTGGCAGCAAAAGGGGGACCTACTTAATATTAGGTAGGTGGTCATGGTATGGCTAATTGGTGTAAGCATATGCACTATTTCTTATTTACATGACAGAAAAGGAAAAGAAAGAGAATAAAAATATTTATGTTTTAACTCCTGATCACAAACACTTATATAGGAAACATTTCCTAAAAAGACATTCTACATACCCTTTAAAACACACTTCCCTTGCAAGAATATTAACCCTTAACAGTTCAGCAGATTTTTTTCTTTTTCTTTTGCCCGCACAACCCATTAAACCCCTAGATGAAACAACCAGTCCACACTTAAAAAAAAAAAAAAAAAATGCTTTTTTTAACAGGTTAATGCTCGTTAGGTATACAGTATATCACTTGCAGGAACACTGTACTTTGTTTTTATTATTTACATTTTCATTAAACTGGATAGTAAAGCTCACACTAAATTTCTAGTCTGTTGTGGCGATGTGAGTGGTGTAATTTATCCACCAAACACCCCCCCCCCCCTTCTTTTGTCAATTCACAGAACACATTGGAGGGAATTCAATATAGCATTTACAACACACTGGGATTAAAAAGAGAAATGTAGCCAAGGCTTTTTGGATGGGTTGCAAGCGTGCACTTACTTTTGCTCTCCTGTGACCCACAATCAACCAACTGCAAGCTAAAGCCTGTTGTCAGCTAACTTCACACAGCTACTCCAGGCTCTGGAAGGATCCCAAACAAAATGGACAAGATCCACCCAGCTGCCTGAATGACAGCTAGCTCCGGCTCTCAGTGCGTGGCACATCCCTGGAGCTCTAATGAGCGCTAGAGGAGCAGAGCAGAGAGTGGTGACCAACAGTCACTGCTCTCCACTCCAAGCAAACCGAGAATTGAGTGGTCAGTGGTCTTGTGATTGCTCAGTTCTTGGTTTTACGGTGGAAGTGGGACAGCTGCAGCATAGAGGAGAGTATAGGTGTTTATTTTTATTTTTTTTATAAACCCCAAACTTCTCCTTTAAGATCATCTAAGAAATGTACTGTGCTAATATCGGAAAGCAATGTGACACCTCAAATGCTATTACCGATACGTTCAACAAATTTTGGTACTTCTTAACAGCGACACTCTTACATTATGTCACAATGGCTTCAACAAAGTCATAAAGAAATGCCACCGTTTTGGAGAGAAGGAAACTGATGGTAAATAAGAACAATGTCATTTTGGAGTAATTTGTGTAGGAAGCTGGTAACCCCCCCCCCCCCAAGGCTGCATGGCATCCTTGAGTCCTGTGCATAATGCAGGCTTTGCAAAAGATTAATGTACGTGTTTCTAACATGTACATGAATTTGTCGTATTTACCAACATTTGTCAAATGGTGCTGCAGACATTCTTCTAAAGAATGTCTGCACCACTTTTTTATGAGAACCATTCAACTACAATCCCTTGAAATCATAGTCACAGCAGACTGGATGTTTGTGAGCTATACCATACAGCTGAATAAAAATGTAAATAAAGAATCTACAACTTTCCTGCAAGTAGCATGCACCCAATTAGCATCAACTTGTTATTACCCAGCATATTTTAACCACTTGCCTACCGGGCACATTTTTGACCACTTCGTGCCCAGGCCAATTTTCAGCGCTGCGCACTTTGAATGACAAATTGTGCGGTCATGCAACACTGTACCCATATGAAATTTTTATCATTTGTTTTTCACACAAATACAGCTTTCTTTTGGTGGTATTTAATCGCCACTGGCGTTTTATTTTTTGCACTATAAACAAAAAAAAAAAAAAAGTTTTTCTTTGTTTCTATTATAAAATTTTGCAAACAAGTAATTTTTCTCCTTCACTGATGTGCATTGATAAGGCTGCACTGATAAGTAGCACTGATGAGGTTGCATGAATAGACAGCAGTGATGGGCACTGATAGGCTGCACTGATGAGGCGGCACTGGTGGGCATTGATGAGGAGACACTGATGCTGCTGCACTGATCATTAGGGCACTGATCAACAGTGCCGATCTGCTCTGTGACAGTTGCCGGTTATCGGCGACACTGACTGGTGGCACTGATGGGCGCAACTACTGGGCAGCACTGCAGGACACTGATCATCAGTGCCGATCTGCTCTGTGACAGCTGCTGGTTATCACAGCGTGAGAAAAGTGCAGCCGATAACCGGCAACTGTATTTACTCAGTGATCTGCTGTGTCATTGGACACAGCTGATCACGTGGTAAAAGGCCACTGTGATTGGCCTTTACCTCATTACGTGATCAGCTGTGTCCGTAGGCAGGGCGCGTTCTGGGAGGACGTCATATGATACCCTCCCAGAACTGGACAACCATGCTGTAGCCGTCATTCAGCTAGAGCGCGGCTGGCAAGTGGTTAAAGTGATTCTAAAGGCTTTTTTTTTTTTTTAATTTAAAAAAAAAAAAAAAAAAAAAAGTTGTTATACTTACTTGCTCAGTGCACTGGTATTGCACAGAGCAGCCCTGAACCTACTGGGGTCTCCAGCTGGAGCTTTTTGCTCTTCTCCAAGTGCCCCCATACCAAGCACCTTGCTAAGGGGGCATGCGTGCGGGCTCGCTTTTGCACCCATACACACAGCACAGCTCAGTCCCACCATCCACTGCCTCCTCACTGGATTTGATTGACAGCAGCAGGAGCCAATAGCTCTTGCTGCAATCAATTTATTCTTTGAGACCAGGGAGAAAGAGCAGCACTGCTGAAGATGGGCACAACACTGGATTGATACAGGACTCAGGTAAGTATTTAGGAAGGGGGAAAGAAAATATTAGGTTTTTTACCGTAATGCAGGTAATACCTTAAGGTAAAAACCTTGTAAATTTAACCACTTTGATTAAAATAAATAAAAAACCCTTCCTGAAGTTTTTCTTTAACATGGGCACATGGATTGATCTGCAGTCTAAAATGACATACCTGCATCGGAAGCATATCTCAGCGATGTGGAGCCAAATACCCATTTCCTGCAAATAAGACGGTAAAACAGAATGAATCATGCTGCATTTAATGATAAAGGTTTTTGGTGCAGATTATAAAGATGATAATGCAAATTAGTAGCTGACAAATTTAAAATAGAACTAAAAAGGCAAAACTTTTTTCTTCATTTTTGAATGCATAAGGTTTTTTTTTTTGCCATCTGTGTCTCTTTGGGGAAATTTCCCCAAATGATTGCTTGTCCCAAAACAGGAAATGAGAGAAAATCCCTGCAAATGAAGGGAATTCTTTGGGGCCCCAGGTTACCATAACTAGCACCCCCACTGGAAGATTTCTCTTCCATTACTGTTCTGGTGACAACCCAAAATGTCAGATTTTCTTTTTCTGCCTGTTGATAACAATAAACATGACAATTAAAAGAGAGTGAATCTCCCTAATGGGGCACAGACAGCAATAAACACCTGAAAGACAACACTTAGAGGTCACCTGAATTTTTTTGCCAGTTTTAGAAAATTGCAGACTGAGACATTAATTATATTGAAATGGAACAAAACCCTTTAATCCTTTACAGCCTGCCTTTATTTGATCTGCAGTTGCCATCCATTTACATCTGTTTTTCATCAGTTCACATCCATTTTTTTTTTGTACATCCTTTACCAATGCAAAACTGAACAGTAGGTCCGTTTACATCCGTATAAATTCATATCAGTTTACATCAGTTTTTCAACAGTTCACAATCCATTTTTTTTTCTTACATCCTTTGCCAATGCAAAAATGGACCATATGTCTGTTTACATCCTTTACCAATGCAAAATGGACCATATGTCTGTTTACATCCTTTACCAATGCAAAAATGGACCATATGTCTGTTTACATCCATTTTTCGACAGTTTACTTCCGTTTTTTTTTTTACATCCTTTCCCAATGCAAAAATTGACAGTATGTCCATTTAGAACCATATCAATTTTTCAGCAGTTTACATCCATTTTTATTTGTTTACATCCATTTTCCATCTTTTTTTTTTAATTTTTTTTTTACATCCTATACCAATGCAAAAAAAAAACGGACCATATGTCCGTTTACATCTGTTTCATCAGTTTACATCCATTTTTTACATCCTTTATCAATGCAAAAATGGACTTTATGTCCATTTACATCTGTTTTTTTTTTCTGTTTACATCCGTTTACCATCTGCTCCAGTTTTTTTTTTTTTAATGGAAGAAAAATAATGTCTGTATCCATTAACATTTAACAGATGATCATCCATTTACATCCACTAGTCCATAGAAATACATGGGTGTCCATTTTTCATCTGTAAACAGACAAATGAAAAACAGACTACCCATGTGAAAGAGGCCTTAGGCTGCATTTACTGCGAGGCGTATGGAGAATGCATGCAAAACTCTGACGCATTTGTATGCCTTTTTATAGGGCAGCCCCTTCATTTCAGTGGCCTGCTTTACATGTGGTAGAGCAGCTCATGTAGCTTTTTGGCACATTAGTTGCACTTGGGGTTCCATTAACAATGCATGGATGGCACTGCGACTGCAAAAAAAATAGTTTTCACACATTTCATAAATGTACACAAAAATAAAACAATTTTGCGCATTTACAAAACGCTTGCTTGAGAATGTACCTGGATACATTCTTGTGGAAAAAAACTATTTACAAGTGCAAAACAAAAAAAATCCTTGTCTCTCCTATCAGACTGTAAACTAGATAACATCCTTGGTGTCAGGAGCATGCAGGTACACAGGCAGGACGCAGCCAGGTGTGACTCGGTACACAGGCAGGACGGCGCAGCCAGGTGTGACTCGGTACACAGGCAGGACGCAGCCAGGTGTGACTGGGTACACAGGCAGGACGCAGCCAGGTATGACACGGACTGACCCTCTGATAACACAGCTACCCTGTAGCATGCATACACCCCTTCCCTCCCCTATCTCCTCATTACCGAGCCTGCAGTACGACCGCCAAGCCAGGACATCGTCTTCTCCTAACCAGGGAGGCCGCCATGTTATGATCTCACTGACAGCCAGGTCACACCTCCGCCCCGCCCCTTCCGGAAGTCAACGCTTTGCTGCCTGTGCTCCATCCCGGGATCCTCCTCTCCAGCCCACCTTACACAGGAGTATAAAGTCTCCTTCTCTTGAAATCTGACATTACAATGACTTGTGGCTGAGAGGATAACCCGGAAAACAGTAAAGACGCGCTTCGGCCAATGAAGTAAAAGGGGCTTGTCGCACTGACCAATCACGTTCTTCAGAACGGAACGCCTTTCAGTGATTAGGGCGGTGTAGAAAGCACGGTTGCACGTAAAGAGTGTACTACTGAAATGTAGCCACTAGAGGGTAGCAGACTAATTCTTCCACACTACATGCGTTCTAGGAGCTTTTTTCTGTATCCAAAACGCAGAGAAAGTAGGTTATATGGTTGTCAATGTCATAGTTCACATCAGTGCTTGCAGTTCCAGCGCGTTGCGGATGCAGAAAAAAGTAGAACATGCTGCATTTTTGCTGCACAGAACTGTACTGTTCACACTACAAAAATGCATTCTGGATACGTATTTGCTTCCAGTTCACACCACACACAGTTCCCCTGCAGTTTTGATGCAGTCTGCTGTGTTCCTTTACAGTTCTGTGCAGAAAAAAATGCAGCATGTTATATTTTTTCTTTCTGCACTTGGAACTGACTGCACTGGTGTGAACAAGAGCCATTGAAATACATGGAAAACACTTTACATGCATTTTTGATACAGAAAAAAAGTGCACTGAACTGCATCTGGTGTGAACCAGCCCTAAGGGCTGGTTCACTCTATAGAAACGCAGTCTAGATGCGTTTTTGCATGCACATTTTCTACGCGTTTTTGGCACGTTTAAGTGCATGTTTTATGCATTCCAGATAATTTTTTACTCTTTTTCAATTTTTCAATAGGGACATGTGCGTTCCAGTGCGTTTTTGGTGCATTCTGGTGCATTTTTGGTGTGTTCTGGTGCGTTTTTTATGAGTTTTACTGCATTCCAGTACAATTATGTGCAGAAAAAATGCAGCCTGTTCTACTTTTTTTTCTGCATCCGGAACGCACTAGCACTGCAAGCACTGATGTGAACTATAACATTGACACCATATCACCTACTTTCTGTGCGTTTTGGATGCAGAAAAAAGCAACTGAAACGCATGTAGTGTGAACTGTCCCTAAAACGCATCAAAAATACACCGGAACGCACTGGAAAGCACCACAATACACCACAAATGCACTGGAATGCACATGTCCCTAATTAAATTGAAGAAAAAGAGGGGAAAAATATACTGGAATACATAAAAACGCACTGGAACACATAAAAAATGCACCGAAACGTGGCAAAAATGCGCATGCAAAAATACATTCGGAACGCATCTGGACTGCGTTTCTATAGTGTGAATCAGCCCTGAGTCTAGGTGTACACCTATGCATTTTCCGCTGCGTTTTTAGAATCGCATAGCAGTCCATTTAACATGATTTCCAATGGGACACGCTCACATCTCTGCGTTTTCACCCGGTGCGTTTTTTGTAAAGAGTCAGGGACTTTTTTAAACGCAAAACCTTGCGTTTTTAGTTCTAGGCTGCAGAAAAGCATGTAGTGCATTTTGGACGCATTTTTGATCTGTTTTAATCTGTCTAGCAACAAGAAAAAACAAAGCAAAAATTGCACCACAAAATGCACTGCAGAAACAGATCAAACACAATCTGCATAGGTGTGAACCTAGCCTTTTCTGTTTCTGCAGTGCGTTTTGTGTTTTTGAACATGCATTTGTGACTCATTTTTGCTGCGTTTTGCTTTTTTTTAAAATTGATGCTAGGCAGATTAAAATGCAAAACGCATCAAAAACACATCAAAAAGCACTACATGCTTTTCTGCAGTGTCTTCATGTTCCAGACAATCTCTTACGGGGAGGAGAACTGTTTTGTTTACTAACAGTTCTCCTCCCTGTCAGCTGAGGCACACTGCATTGGGTGGCTGTGCACAGCACAGCAATCCAAAGCAGTGTGCTTACAGTGAAGCACACTGACACAGCCAGTGTAAAAACACTCCTAGGACACAGTTAACCCTTTGAACGCCCGCATGTTAACCCCTTCCTGCCCAGTGTACAATGTCAGTGCTTTATGCTTTATTAGCACTGATCACTGTAGCGGTGTCACTAGGGATGTCAGTGACACCAAGTCAGTTCCCCCAGTATCAGAATGCCCTGCCTCAGTCCCGATTTAAGTCGCTGATTGCTGCCATTACTAGTAAAAATAAAACAATTTAAAAATTCCAGTTTCTATACCGCCATTTGTAAATGCTAAAACTTTCACGTAATTAATTTACACATATTGGGATTTGTTTTAGCAAAGACATGTAGAAGAATACATTTTGGCCGAAATTGATGACGAAATTTTATTTAAAATTTTTTTTTTACTGGACATGTTTAATAGCAAAAAGTCAAAAATATAGTTTTTTTTTTCTCAAAATTGACGGCCTTTTTTAAAAAAGTAAACATGCACAGGTGATCAAATACCACCGAAAGAATGCTCTATTCCTTGGAAAAAAGACGTAAATTTAATTTGAGTGCAGCGTTGCATGACTGCGCAATTGTCAGTTAAAGTAGCACAGTGCTGTAACGCAAAAAGTGGCCTGGTCAGGAAGAGGGGGGGGTAAATCCTCTGGAGGGCAAGTGGTTAATATAAAGACACTTACCTGTCCAGGGGTCCAGCACTGTCCTCACTAGCCTCTGGGCTCCTACCGCTGACATTGCAAGTAAGGGAAACCGGAAGTGAAGACATGCGGCTTCACAGCTGGTTGCCTACTGTGCATGGACGAGTCGCACTGTGCCTTGTGAATGGTCCCGTAGTCTTCTGGGACCTGTGAAGTGTCCCAGTAGATTGTGGGTGGAAGGAGCCGGAAGTGGGAGCGGGTACTTGTCAAAACCAGGTACCCACTCCCCCCCCAAAAAGTGCCAAATGTGGAGGGTGCAAACAAGCAGAGCTTCCCCTTTGGGTGGAGCTCCGCTTTAACCAATTGGAAAGAAGAATGAGAAGGCGCTTCTAAGTGTAGTAAATCCAGAACTTTTAATAAAGAACGGTTAAAAACACTTACAGGAGTGATAAAATGACAGGCTTATCAAATGGATGGCTCTGCGCTGCTCTTGCCACTGTGTATCAACCTGCTATGCCAGCCAGCAACTGCAGGGGGAGCTCAGGATGTGATGCCAAGATGGCCACCACTCTAATGGGAATGCTGGAATGCAAGCTGTCTGCATGGAGTGCAAACTGAAAGTGATGTAAAAGGGGGCGGTGAAGAAGGAGCGCTCTACACATGCTCTGAAATGCCCCCTTATACGTCTGCACTCCACATGGACAGCGTCCGTTCCAACGTGCATTTCAGTGTTCCTGGAACATCAGTGGCCATCTTGGCATCACATCCTGAGCTCCCCCTGCAGCTGCTGGCCGGCATAGCAGGTTGATACACAGTGGCAAGTGCCCCGCAGAGCCATCCATTCGATCAGTCTGTCATTTTATCACTCCTGTAAGTGTTTTTAACCGTTCTTTATTAAAAGTTCTGGATTTACTGCACTTAGAAGCACCTTCTCGTTCTTTTCTCTCCTCACCTCAGAGTCCAATTCATACTCTTAGAAGTGCTGCCCAGTGCATGTTTCCATATATTATACACACCAGCTGTCATCTTCAAGTCGATTGTCTCCATTGCAGATACACCCTATCAGGGGCGGACTGACAACTCATGGGGTCCCCGGGCAATAGGGGATCATGGGGCCCCTGTGTCCTTGCCCACACTCAAAAAAGCCTATAAAAAGTTACCAGGGCCATCTCATGGGGCCCCCTACTGACCCCGGGCCCTCGGGCAGTGCTCGAGTTTCCAAGTGGTCAGTCCGCCTCTGCACCCTATGAACTTTCCACTTTAACCATTTGACCTCCGGTTTTGCAACCTGTATGGCCATGGCATTTTTTTGCTGTTCAGCACTGTGCTACTTTAACTGGCAATTGCTCAGTCAGGCAACACTGTACACAAATGAAATTGTTATAATTTTTTTCACACAAATAGAGCTTTATTTTGGTGGTATTTAATCACCACTAATGTTTTTGCTTGCTATATAAACAAAAAAAATGGAAAAAAAGTTTCTCAGTTTTTGTTATAAAAATTTGCAAATAAATCATCGTGTTTCATAAATGTATTCCAACAAGTAATCTGCTACATTTCTTTAGTAAAAAACAAAACAAAACAAAATCAGTGTATATTATTTAGTCTTTGTGAAAGTTATAGAGTCTGCAAAATATGGGATATATATTTGTAAATTGATCATTGCCAATGTACTGACTGCCTGTCTAATTTCTTGAGGCCCTTAAAATGCCAGGACAGCACATATACGCTATAAAGCCAAGGTATTCAGTAAGAGACTCTGCAAGTTTTTTGAAGTTGTATTTTTTGTGACAGTTTTTGGAAAATAAAGAAATTACATAAAAAAATTTTCAGAATTTTTTTTTTTTTTTTACATACTGTCACCAGAGCAGTACAGCGTCATCATATGGCTGGTGTGGTGGTGATCATGGTTAGCTCAAGCTCTGTCAGACTGGAAGGAGAGCATCTTTGAACAGCAATGTTCAAGTCTTGCCACAGATTTTCAATTGGATTTAGGTCTGGACTTTGATTGGGCCATTCTAACACAGGAATTTGCTTTGATCTAACCATTCCATTGTAGCTCTGGCTGTATGTTAAGGGTCGTTGTCCTGCTGGAAGGTGAACCTCCGCCCCAGTTTCAAGTCTTTTGCAGACTCTGACAGGTTTTCTTCTTGTATTTGGCTCCATCCATCTTCCCGTCAACTCTGACCAGCTTCGCTGTCCCTGCTATAGAAAAATATCCCCACAATATGATGCTGTCACCACCATGTTTCACGGTGGGGATGGTGTGTTCAGGGTGATGTGCAGTGTTATTTTTCCACCACACATAGCGTTTTGCCTTTAAGCCAAAATGTAAAATTC